TCTACACAGTTGTTAAAATGAGCCATTTTGAGTGATGTTCCCTAATGTTCCCTGATATTTCCTTGCTACCAAAATCCTGATGCAGACATTACAGCTGTAGACATCTGTGTGCTTACATCAGAACTGGGGCTGGAGAGAAAGGGCTTTTGAGTCTTTTTTCACTTTTTCAAAATAAAAAACCACAGCATGATGGTAAAGCTAGCATGCAGTAAATGATAAGATTCAAAGCAGCACACTCGGGTCTCAGGCACTAGCACCCAGGAGATGGGGTAGCTTGGAAGTTTAGATCATCCCAGTCACTCCCTCTTTCAAGTGAGTCTTTAATCCAGAGTATGTAAATTTATAACTTTCAAAGTCAAATACTGAGATAAAGAATCAGGCTGTAAAATGGTAATGAAAAAAGAATGTGAAAAACATTGCTTTTTACCCACTTAGTTTCAAAGCCTTTGTTTTCACACAGAATATTGATTGGATGTTTACTGTTGGGCTTAGAAGCAGAAGGAAATACAAGATTGCCTTTCATTTAAGATTCAAAACCTAAAAAAATCTGTGTACAAATGGTTTAGCAGCCTGAACATGTAGCCTGCAGTCATTTATTTCATTGCATGGAGAAAAAGAATGGGGAGAAACAATGGGAAAATCTTTGCTGGTCCCTTTTGTCTTGTCCTAATTTGTTCCAGCTGAGTTAACCCAGTGCCTATTCAGACGTACAGTCTCCACTTGGACCATCCCTCTGTCCCACAGAAACGTGGCTTTGCCTTATGCACCCACATTCCTAGATTAACAACAGGGAATGACCGCCAGTGCCACTGCTTTTGCCAGCTCTGTGTTGGGTAAGAGAGTAATGGGAGGCGGAGGGGACATCAGAGACAATTTCTTTTTTGCTCTTGAGTTCAAACTGTAAAGTTTGTGCATTACTTGTGATTCAGGAGAGGTCTTTTGTTTGGTTCTTAGCCTAGACTGGACCTTCTTACCATCTGGGAAACATCCAGCATGAATATACAAAACTGCAGAGATGCATCTCTGTGCAATATTGGTTTTATTGCAGTTGACTTCCATGTGAGGCAAAGGTGAAAAGTGTGGGAGGAGTGGGTGGTTTTTATGTCCTGGCAGGAGAAGTTATCAGCCCTCCTCTTCCATGAAAGTTCAAATCGCCTGTTACATCAGAGAAGCCATAGGTACCACATGGTTTGGTCCAGGAGGGTGATGCTCCACCCAGCTGGCCCTCACTCTTGGCTCCCTGCACTGCCAGAGAACAGGAGAAGCTGCAGTACATAACATAGGCAAGATGGTAGGTAGCCTCTGGAGTCGCTTTGGTCTCCAGCTTTGGGTAGGATCCTCCTCTGCCCCTCTACACACAGAAGAGCAAATGAGTAAACAATTGTTGACTTTGCTAGGACAGTGAGAAATGCAGAGTATAAATGCCCTGGGCATGCTGCCTCAGACAGAAGAGGATAAGCAGAACAGGTCCCAGACCAGCCCCTGAGGCAATTCAGCCCTGGAAGATGAAGCATGGGCATACTCTGGCCCAGGGCCAAAGACTTGCCATGTCCTGGTCTCTCCTTTCCCATGGGCCATCATCTACGTACCACTGTTCCCTGGCTGCAACAGGTTCCCACACCATCTTTGCCTTGGCTTGGCCCTGCATCACTGTCAGCTCTCCAGTGGCCACTGCCATGGCCAAAACCTCCTGTCCGTCGGCCAGCTGGACACTTGCCCTGAGGCTGCTGCCCCTGCAGGCCCCAGTCCTGCAGCTCCACACACTCCTGCCTGTCCCACAGTCAGCCTTGCTTCCTCCAGCCATGATTTTCTTCTGTACTCAGGGAATTGCTTCTTACACAGTGGAAGGAAGGAAGGAAGGAAGGAAGGAAGGAAGGAAGGAAGGAAGGAAGGAATAGGAAAGGAATAGGGAAGGCATTTTCATGAAAACCATATTCTTTCAAAACTGAGCTTTGAGAAATAAACTGTTGACACAAACATTTGTAACTCTGCAAAAATGTCAAAGACTTTTTTTAAAATCAAGCCTTTAATGGAAATCATGTTTGAAAATATTATCACATTTCTTGGCTTCCCAAATTCCACAACAGTTTCAAGAACAGTTTTTTACAATACTGCAAGTTGTATGGACTTTCTCATGAAATGGAAAATGAAAACAGTTTCCATACATAGCAAAATAATTTTGACATTTCCTAGAACACTTGTCTCTGTTTGTTAAATCAAGCATTTTTTTTTAAGGTCTCAGGGATCTGAATCATCCTGCTAGACATATGGCTTCTGTTCTGGATCTACCATATAAACAGAGACCAGTATTAGACTTGCTAATGAAAATTAGATGCAATGCCTGTTCCTATGTATATATACATTCATAAAATATAAACAAGTCAAAAAAAGGATGGTTCTGCTAGAGTAGCTGTGGGAGTTGTGGTACCTCTTATTTCCACCGATTTTCCACTATGAAACTTGGACCGACAATTGATGTCAGGCAGAGATTTTGCCCTTTTTTGGTGTGATATATTGGTTCCACTGAGCCATCCTTTTTCACTCTGTATGTTTTCCCTTTTAGTGCAGCATAGAATTACAGAAGTTAAAAATGGCTTCAGAAATTGCAAGACATATTATGTTTGCCGTCAGTCTTGGTTAAAAAAGGATTATGTCCACTGTGCTTCTCTGTGGAGGCTGCCAATTGTACCCACATGGGAAGCAGTTTTGTTACATTTGGAAACATCCACTCAATATAATTTATTCATTAAAATCCCTCTTGCTTGTGACCTCAGACAGATGTTGAGAGCAGGTTTCCAAAGCCTTTGGAAACATAGTACATTATAGTAACAGAATAGGTAAAAGAGACACAAAAGAGGAATGGAAGAAGGTAATTTGTTCCTGAAAAAATGTCTTCCTTTGAAGTCAAGGAAATGTTTGTTTCTGCTCATGAGGTATTGCCGTTCCTGACCATACTGGACTCTGTCTGACCTCTGTCATGGAGACCCATTGGTCTTCCACGTGCTGGATTACCTTGCTGCTGCAACCAGAGCCTCCTAAATTACAGTATTGGCTGTCACAAGTGCTTCATCCAGATGTGCCAGAAAAATGCTACCACTGACAGCCTTGCACTAAAGAATACAGCCCAGAGAGACACGGACTAGATGAAGAAAGATTTAGCAAATGTTTGAAGACATCTGCTCATGAGGTAGCTCAGGAGATTTTCCGTAATGCCTGCATGCAGCCAGGTCACAGATACTGTGTGAAAGTCTGTTCTCATGAATCTCAGCCCATCTGCTTTTGGGCCTCAGCTTGTTGTTGAAGAGGGTTGCAAACACTGTTGATATCAAACCAGTTCACAGCTTCCAAATTTCCAGAATATGTCTCGAATAACCAGAGTCAACTATTTCCTCAGATTCAAGTTGCTCTCTTTTGCGGACATCCAGACATCTGTGAGACTGTTCACTTTGAGTAAGAAAGCCTACTTTTCCCTAGCTGCTCACCAATATGAGAGCTCCCACTGTTCCCATGCAGTAGTGCACTGTGCTTCCGGATCCAGCACCACAAGGTGACATGCACAGGCTCACATGTGTGGGGGACAAGGGGAGCCAAGAGGCACATGTATCAGGTTATAGAAGCCCAACACATTTATGCTATATATACAACCACTGTATTACTGGGCTGTGCCATCATATCATTACTAATTTTTTAGGCGATAATCTCTATTGTACTACAGTATACGATGCAATAAGCAGCTGGTGCAATTGATGAAATGGCAAAGCAAAGCTTTTAAAGTACATGCTATTTCCAGCTCATTTGCACACCTGCTAAAATCCACTGATGCTGCTCTGGATTTATGAGGAGGAGGAGGTTAAATTTTGCTGAGGAGTTCAGGTTAGTCCAGAAGTCTAGCAAGTTATCAAAATGCAAAATCTGAAAATTTTGTATCCTGCAAGCTTGACTTGATATCCATGGTGTGGTCCTAAAAACCAGAGCATAAAACCAACACTGTGTAATTTTACATGATATTACTCTTATAAAACACTATGTAGCAAGCAAAACTGAGATTAAAATCTGCAACTATTCTGTAGTCCTTAACCCTGTTCTCTGGGGTTATGTTTTATTTTGTTGTTTTTTCCCCTGGTGTTTCTGAAAGTACCCGCAGATAGAGGAGCAGACGTGTGCCATAGAAAGTCCTTAGAGTAACAGTACCAGAAGTGACTAAACATTCCAGCTCTGGAAGTATCAACCATTAGAAGTCACCTCCACCATACAGCAATGTGTGCCATTGCACTTGGAGTGAAATCACAGAATCATAGCAATGTTAGTTGGAAGAGACCCTGGAGGTCCTCTGAACCTTCCAAAAACCAACCTGTGTCCATTGCATATCTCATATTGCCACTCCTGAGGAGTGCTTGGCTCCACTGTCTTTGAAACTTCCCTTGAGCAGCTGCCAACTGCTGTTGTATTGCTCCTCACCCTCCTTTTCACCAAACACTTGGGAATAGCCTATGACAGTGTGCACACAGTCTGGTGAACAGGTCAAAGTGGGGGCCCTAACAAGAGCTGCCAAGATGCTGGGAAGAAAACTTCTTAAAATGTCCCAATCAACTGTCTTTCCTTTGCAATATAGGCAGGATGAGATACCTGTGTAGTTCTTCACCAGTTGCCTGTCACTATGGGAAGTGAGTTTTGTTAGGGACAAAAGTGTATCTTTAACTGTCAGTAATGGGGTGCTAACACTGTAATAATTGTCCTTTCCCTGTTATCCTATGCACTAAAGACACTGGCATTGAGCTTGATATAGCTGATATGTCTATAGTTGGGATGTGGCTCAACAGTTCACTGAAATTTCCTTCCTTCCGCTGTATTACAACTAAGGGCTGTACTGAATTTGTTTATGAATAGGCAGCATCACAGGAAGGAGACCATACATTTATTTATATTAAAAATCATGAAGAATGGCAAATCTATTCAAGAGCCACAAGAACCCATATCTTAATTAAACTGAGGAACAAGATGATACCGACCCCAGATCAGCAGCTCATGAAGGCACCTTCCTTGTGATCTGCCTGTGTTGACTGGAAGTGTGCTTGTTAATATATTAATACGTTTCCAGGCAAACCATTTAGCATGCAAGTACTCTTGGAAAAATAGTTTTTAAGCACTGTACAAATAATGTTTTTTATAGATGATCAGTACCCTTCCCATGGGCACAGGCAGTGCTGGTATTTCCTACTTTATGCCAAGAATATTCTCTCTTTCTTTCTCTCTCATCTTTCCTCATGAGTCTGACTAAAGAGAAAATTAAACATGTGATATACCTGCTTGCAAGACTTGGAAATTTGCAGCCAACTGATCATGTGTACTGAAATAAGCTTAGAAGTGTTCAGTGGTGTAAACTATTTGCTGTTACATTTGCAATCCTTTTAGATTGTCTGGAAAAACCATGAGATATGTGAAGCATGGTTTAAACGTAATTTTCTTCCTTGGTTATACGATAGACTTATGACTGTTTTACTGCCTACTTTCTCGCCTCTGTCACATTTAGATCTTTTGGGGATGATACAATAAGTTTATTTTGAATTATGTGTTGGTTAATGAGAATTAGCTGATCTGGACTTAAATAATATTTCATTCCCCATGAAGGTGTAAGTATTTGAACTTGTCCAACACTTATCTGTTATCAAAGTGATAACAGCTGGTTTTAACCACATGATTTCCTGAGCTTTAGAAGAGCCTTTCTGTATCTTCTGTAGAGCTTAGGAGACTCTACCCATCTCTGCTGAACAAGGGGTTGTTGGGAAGGGAAGTAGGCGACTTCCCATGGGCTTCCCTTCCTTAGCACCTCCTGTTGAGCAAGTTACTTACTCTGGTCACAGCTGAACTCAAGAGGAGGAGATCCATGCAACCTGCACTGCTTTTGGAAAATCTCACTAGTGAAGCCTCATGTTTGGCAAAGAGTTCATACTTTACGTTTTCACTGCCTTACACTGCTCAGTGCATTTTATACAGACACAACTGATGCAATTATATAGATATAGTACAAATACATATTCAAAATGATCTTTGTAAAGGAGCTAGAAACTTACTTCTTTAGAAGCAATAAAATGACCATCTTCTTTTTACTGCTCATTTATATGTTTGTATCTAAGCATTTGAGACAGTCACCTGAAGACCAGTTCTATTGATCACTAGTATATAAACTCAAAATACTGGAGAAGATCCAACTGAAATATCAGTCTGGTTGATGATTTAAGGATTTGACTGCCACAAATCTGGCATCAGCAAGACACGTTCAGTCACTGTGCCTGGGAAGCAGGGCTGGCTGAGGTTGTTTGGATCCCTGAGGTTAGCTTTCATAAAACCAGGTGTCCTTATTGGTGTTGATGCCTGGGACTCTGAGGGAAGACTTCCTTTTCCTTCTGTCCATGTTACTTCCTCTGCTCTCTCAGACACAGTTCAGGGGCAACGCGGGGCTGGGTGCCCTGGTCGAGGTGGGGAGATGCAGTAAGTGAAGCAAGACCAGCCAGACTAGAAGGAGGTACCCCTCTGCCAGTGTTAGCTGCATGGTGGCAGCCATGGGGACACACTTCCTAATGCATATCTCTTCCTTCGCAGATGGTGCTGCTGGCTCGCTGTGAAGGGCGCTGCAGCCAGATGTCACGCTCAGAGCCAATGGTTTCTTTCAGCACCGTCCTGAAGCAACCTTTCCGCTCCACCTGCCACTGCTGCAGGCCCCAGACCTCCAAGCTGAAGGCCATGCGGTTGCGATGCTCGGGGGGCATGCGGCTCACCGCCACCTACCGCTACATCCTTTCCTGCCACTGCGAGGAGTGCAACTCCTAGGGATGTACCTGCCACAGCAGTGGGGGGGACCAGGATGCTGTTGTTGGGGAAGGTTCCTAAGAAGAAACCCAAGGTGAGGTTAACTCTCCCAGTGTATGATTGCAGCGAGGACAAGACTAACCAGGATGGATTCGATCTGAGAGCTGAAACATAAAATATCCTGGGGCCCTGGATGGTGCTGGTACCTAAGTATGGGCTGTGAGAAAGGCAAAAGCACAAAGACTAGTTTTTAAGAAGCCTTTCTTTTTTCTCAAAGGATGTTTTTGTGAGTTTCTTCTTTTTCAGACTCAGCTCTGACCACAGAGAGGTGCTTTTACTTTAGGCAAAGAGAAGCAGGAGAGAAGAGATGAAGGTCAGCTGGATGACAGCACCGCACTCTGTAAGCTGGCATTTGGACAGAGTATGGGCATCAGTTCCCACATACGACCTCTTAACCTGTCAATTTGCTCTCAGTCTCCTAGTTATATTGGCCTTCAAAATAAACTGTGTTGTTGGCAAGGGTTATCTGTTACTGATCGAGCAGCCAAGTGCTGGATAACTTTCACTATGGTTTAGCAGAAATTACAAATAAATCATTAAAAAGTGAACTGGATCTGAAATGTAGAGCCAGAACTGCCCTGACCTAACCAGCTGAAGTGATTATTTGCGGTGTGCAGCATTACAGTTCAGTGACTGAGTGACTCCAGAGAAATGAAAGGTCATGAGACTCATTATTCCCCTTTAAAAGCCTGGAAATGTGACACAACACAACTATCACAAAAGCCATTATTCAAACACTAAAAATTAATCAAAGATTAAAATGACATGTACTAAATGGAGTCTTTTCTTATTTTTGGTTGGGTAGACCTGTTGATATACAGAGCCAGAGCCACGAGAATAATGGCCAAATCTAGGACTTATTTTCATCTATGTCCCTGAGGCCATTGAGTGAGTACCATTTTGCCCTTTAAAGACAGGCAATCCCAGGCACAGGAGAATCACACTGACGTACCCATATGACGTTTAAGGCAGAGACTGAGTCCCAGCGGTGTCCACTGGACTACAAAGGTTGTGTTTACCTAATGTTCTGTGACCTGGGGTGCTGGTTGGCTCACCATCCAGCTTGGCAGCCCCTTGGAGAATCTTGGCTGGGCCACAAGCCTATGTGTCCTTTGTGTGCATACAAGGATGTTGGAGGCTGTGGCACAGCTCGCACAAGCCCAGACCCCAGCCGTAGGTCAAGCTGTTCCACAGCCAAGTCCTCAGAGCAGGAAGGGGACAGTGCTGTGGGGTCCTGCAGATCAGGGGTCCTGCAGAGCAGGGGTAGCCAGTGCTTCTCTGTAGGAAGCAAGTGAGACCAAGAGCTGCCCTGTAGGATCATGGCAGAAAGAAATGCCCTGAGGAGCTGAATGAATTGCAGTGATTGACAGGATGAAAGGATCTCAAAATAGCAAAGGACCCCAAGTTTCATAATGTAGGGAAACTCTGTCCCTCCTCCATTAGTGTGAGGTTTTGGGAAGGTTCAGTCATAGTCTCTTGTGACTGCAAGGAAACAACATAATGTATTACAGTTCTTATCTCCTTAAATGCCAGTATATACAGTCAGTCAGCAATATGTCTATGATGTTCACACAGACCTGGCTAAGACATTCTTTGATAGAAGTCATGAAGGTGTCAGGAGCATCTTTGCTATGTAAGGATTCAGAGTCAGCGCAGTTTCTACCCCTTTGTAGCACCCACATGCATAGTCCCGCAGTTATCCTCTGGGCCAGGCCTGAGTGTCTCCCCTGCACAGAAATGTTTGGTGGGGCCCCGTGGTACAGAGTGGAAGTCCTACCCAATCCCAGTGTTCAGTCCCTCTGTGCAGCGCCATCCAGTCTGTCTGTGGCAAATGCCATATGCAGCAGCTCGGGGACTCATGGTGATGCTGCAGGGGATCCCCAAGGTCTGGGGAGGGGCGGGTAGGGGGGGCAGTCATCCTGTGGTCTACACTGGAGTTACTGTGGCTGCTTGGGCGAAGCTAGACTCCTTTGCCACTGCCTCCTTGTGGGATGTGAAGGCAGGCAAGTGACAAGACTTGCAAGCCAAAATCTGCTGCTAGATGGCTGTCAGTCAGAAGTGGAAAGCAACAGAGGACGAGTACACCCATAGACAGCGGTTACAGAGGTTTGTGGTACATGGGAAGGACTGCATCTGTTTTCCAGAGATGCCTTGGAGATGGTCAGTTTTCAGCAACACAGACGTGGGCAAACAAAAGGGTGAATCAAACTGCTAAAAGCTGATGAGCTCAGATTAAAATGTCAAAACCAGGAGCGATGAGCCCCAGTGAGCTCATTAGACACCACTTGTTGTTTCAGCACTGTCAGTCATTCCTTTCACATCTGATGCATGTTCTGAACATCAAAGGGCGACCGATGGGAGTGTGAGCCAGGCATTATCACCAGACTACTTTATATGAAAGATCATATGTGCATCCCTTTTCCAATCTCTTTCAACTACCAGCATCTAAAATCCCATTATCAAAAAAGCACCACCCCCTACTGTTAATTATATATAGAAAATTCCAGCCCTTAGCCGAAACATCAGCAATACCTTTGATAATCAAGTAACTATACTGCAAAATATGCATGACCTCTAAGCGTGGGTATAGAGACCACTGCGCACAAGCAATGCTATGCAGTGATCTAAGGAATGGGGAATGTTTAAGGGTAACTGCTATATCCAGCGTCACTCCCCTGCCTCACCCCAAGTTGTGCTGCCACTGGCCTTCTCTGCTAGTGCAGAATGGGATGCTGATAGGGTTGTGACACAAAATTTGGGTGACAATTTACAGTGCTCCTGTACAGCTGAGTGATGCCACAGAGCAGTGTGGACCAAATCGTGGTACTCTGGTGAGGAGAGAGGAGGGGTTTGAGCAGAGAACATGACTAAGTCAGTTTAGAAAAGACGAGAATATTTATAGTAAGAACAGAGCTTGGCTGGTATTTATTCCCACATCCCCCTGCTATCACAGTGCCAGAGCTATAATTGCTCAAATCTGTCTCACAGAAGATATTCGTGTTTCAACAAAAGCTTTTTTTCCCTCTCATCCCACATTCCTTTCACTTTTGCTCCATTCCTTTAATGAAATCATCACCTTGTGACCACAAAGGCTGTTGCCAATCATAAATGTTGAGGTGAATTCAACATTATCTAATTTAACTGTTGAGTCGAATAAATGCATAGAAGGAATATAACAAATTATGAATGACAAGACAAAACATACTTGTAAATATCTAGAACTGGATATTAAACAATGACTCAAACGTTCAAGTTCTTCGTTTGGCTTTGTCAGGCAATCTTTCTATTAACATTTGAGAAAATGAGGAGCTATTCTTCAAAACCAAATGCCCCAAAGCTGGTCATAAATCCATACTTTGATACTTTTTTATCAGTATTTTAGGCAGCTAAGTACTGAATGAAGCACACAAATGCTACCTATGTTAAAAGCCAGGAGGAACACTGAAGCAAAAGAAAATGAGGCTTCAGGTAAAAAACTACAGGATACGGCTTACAGTAAGAAAGAGTCTAAATGGCACTGGGAGATGAAATGGCTTCCTGATTTCTTAGCCTGACACCACTTAGGTATCCACTTTAGATACTTAAGCTCTGTTTTTTAAGTAAGACTACTATGTGAGTGGTGCTTAAATTGAACAACAGGGAGGGGCAATGTCTAGTTGTCCAGATAATTTTGTGGGGCTTTTTCTTTGCTAAAGCATGGTGTCACTGAGGCTCAAACAAGAAGGCTTTCTTCTTTATTCCCCTCACTGCATCTCACCTTTCAGGCACCGTGTTCCCTCACAGAAAGGCTGGTTCAGCTGTGACCATCCTGTGGTTTCCTCAAGATGAGGTGTGATACAGGCTTGTGACTGTCACCACACTATGTCCTCTCTTTTTTTGATTAAGTTTCTGAGTCCGGCTTGGCTTACCTTTGAAAGCCACCCATCCCAGCAGTGGTGGATTTCATTTCAGCTGGAGGAATTGCACTCACAGAGACCAGGGGAAAACACTAGACCTTTGCCAGTACCCTTTGCTTGTGAGAAAAGCCTTATAATATCAATACATTTTGTGCCTATTGGAAATAATCTCTGATTTGCCAGTGTGAAAAAGCCCATGACTTCACAAATTTTAATTATACTGCTCCCAGCTGCAGTGGGCCTGTTAAGTACTCAAAGCTGCATAGATACAAAAACAGTGTGATAGTTCAAGCCTTACATGAATCTTTAAACAGAGGAACTCACTGCTTTCTTCAGGATGTCCCCACCGACTTTCCTTACACCTATGAGCCTGGAGAACATTCTTCCAGACAAATGATTCTGAGCCTGGCTGTCTCCTGGTGGCCTTTATCAGGACTTTGGTAAGGTACTGTCACAGCGCGCATGGCAGTAACGGAGAGGGGAAGTTCAGTGATGCACATGGTACACCACAGCCTGTGCTGGGCCTTCACATGAGCCTTAGTCAAGACCTATTCATCAAGTCCTTGGAGGTCTACCATGAAGCTCTGAAACTCAAACAGGAATGTGTAGACTGCAGCCAGAATATTTTTGTGAAAGAGGAGGAAAAAAAAACAAGGTGAGAGGTTACTTTCTCGTAGGAATAGCCCAATGCTCTGCTGCTTTGTGTGTCTCGCCTCAGTTCTTAGGATGTGATATGAGAAAAGTGATGCTCCTGAGCTCTCTTCTGTGTGTCAGTGGTTTTTCAGCACCTAGCCCTACATGTTTAAAGACAGTGGCTTCTTACTGAATTTGTCTGAAACAGGATCAAACTCTCTAGGAAGCACAGTTCTGCTTAGCAAGGGATTTTTCCTCTGATTTGGGCCATAAGTATTTTTGAAAAATCCAAATGTTGTTAAAAAAGGTCAGGGGGGTTGTGTCTTACTTTCTTTGACTCTGTAGTTATTTAAAACACAAGGGCCATGGAAGAAGAAAAAAAAGATGATATCTAGGGTAAAAGTGACTGACAGCCTTCTAAGATAAATTGCATTATAGCTAACAGGTATT